AAAACACAGCCCCATACCAGCTACTGTGAAGAAAATTAACTCTATCCCAGCCACAACCAGCACACCTAGGAATGTTTGAAGGTCTTATGCCTGTGATGAAATTGCCTTTAATTGAAATACTCAGTAGAAGTGAAAGTTCAAAGGTTGTGTTCTAGAAGTTCTTCTGTTGTGAGGTTCAGGCACCTGTATGCACTTGCTTGTTGTGCTTATCGAGCATTAATAGAAGTTTTGGTGTCAGATCATTCAGTTTAAGTTGAAATAGGAGATTGTTTGAGGATTGTTTGGTATTAGAACTACTGGTGAAGAAAACGGGCAAAATGCATCATCCTGTTGACAAAGCTCTTTATGCTGTAGGCTTATAAACAGCCTGTTTCACCACTGACCGGTCTTGCTTGGTTGAGCATTATGTTTCTCCTAATTCATTGTTCAGATGGTGCAGCCTTCGGCACTGTTGCTTGCAGCCGTTCTTTTTGTCTCCGTTAATGATCAATGCTTTCACCAGCCACGCTGGTATTTCTGCATTTGATGGAGATAATGGTGTATATGCTTCTGATCAGGAAAATTCCAGCTATGACTGTAAAGTAGCTGCCATAAATGAGAAACTGGGAAATGGAGGGGGGGATGAAGGAGGAAGAAGAGTCAAAAACTGCTTTTGCTGTTAGGTAATAACTGAAGGGGTGTCCCGCCACTGCTGCCTTCCCTTCCCTGTCACCCCTGCCCCAAAATGATCCCATCTTGAAAGGATTCAAGAAGTCTGGCTGCTTGACTTCATACTGTTGGAAGTCTGCGGTTGTAAAAGGAGGGGGAGAGAATACTCCGTTACGTGCTTCCTCTCCCCAGCTCCGTGAGGGAGGACGACAGCTCTGCCCTGCGCTTTCTGGCTCCTCTCTCGAAAGGTGAAAGCTGGAGACTTGGACCCTCCTTCAGCATGTAAGTTTAAAGTTTAAAACTTAGAAATTTAATGGGGAATCATGAGTTTAGTTAATTTTCAGAATTACAGTAGCTTAAAGATGCATCCAATGAAACTATGTAACTTAAAATTACCCTAGTAGTAGGCCCGTAGATGGCCTTTCAGCTTGCTTCCTGCTTCCGTTTAGGGTATT